TAACTCAATTTGGAATTTATTTTCGCTATTTTTGCTGAAGGGATGATTCCGTGAAAATAAAATCCAGCGAATATACATTTTTTCCTATATTTTACATTAATCTCATCAAAAATCAGTGTAAATAAATTCAAGCAAAACGCCCAAAAAGCCTTTTCAGCGAAAATAAATTCCAGCGAAAATAAAGTATTCCACAGTATTTAACTTTTTGCCTGTGAAATTTGTTGGCAAGCTCAAAGTGAAAAATTGAAATTTTATTTCACATGTGCTTTACTGACTACCGGTAATTAACTTGATGAGAGGTATTTTTTTTTTAAAATAGGAGCATTTTTTTTTAAACTTGAGTAATTTTTTAAAACTGAAATATTTTATTAAAACTGAGATATTTTTTAAAACTTCAGCAACCACAAAAATGCAGAAAGACAAATCAAGGTTATAAGCTTAAAAAAAACTTTTTAAAAAAATAATTTACCATAATATCATAAAAGTTTGCAAAAATTAAAGAAAAACATCTTCATACCCGAGTGGATGGTCTCTGAGTAGACTTGCTAGCATGGATAGACGCTGGCGTTGGTGCTGGTACCGTATTCATAGGTGTGCCCTCACGTAGTGGGGTCATTGTCCTACTAATCATTTTAGGGGGTCTGTAATTGTTACTTATTTTACCAGTATACTTGGAAAGATAACCCCTGAAAATAAAACAAAAATGAAAATCACGTAAGTCTTTCAAATCTTAACTTGCAGTGACAACGATCAAAGCGAGCACTGTAAATATTGAACGACAGAATATATCAATTCAAAACAGTGACGATAGATCTGATTCTTTTTTTCCACTCATTAAATTTTCAACAAGGCATCTAGATATGTCATTTTTTGCTGTTCTTTTAAATTTGTGGAAAAAAAATCAGTGAAAACAAACTCCATACATAACACCCAAAAAGTCTTTTCAGCAAAAATTGAATTGAAATTGAATCTTTCATACGCTAAACAGCCCTTTATGATTACTATAAAATATTTTAGCTGGAATTAATTTTTGCTAAAATATTTTTATGGGTGTTTTGTATGAAAATTAATTTCACTGATTTTTGATGAGTTGAATGTAAAATATAGAAAAAAGGTATATTCTCTGGATTTTATTTTTACTGAATAACCTCATTCACCAAAAAGAGCGAAAATAAAGTATTTTACAGTTTATCCAAGAATATTGTGAAACAGCAAATTATGTAACTCTAGAGGGCACTAGACACAGCAATACGACAAATGCTCCTAAACGCTATGATCACTGTTTACATAATAATAACAAGCAGCCAGTCAGCTGAGATAGCTCTGCTGTTAGCAATGCACATTTCAATTAAAGAACATTAGAAAATGAACAATATGTATAGTATCAAAGCAACCAGCTTGCTGTTTTCAACAAGAATTCAAAAATATCACTTTTTACCAAATATTACAAAAATAATAATTGAAGATATCACCACAAAATTAACAAATCTGAAAGAAGCCCACATGTAGTACTTATATATGTAATATACATGTAAAATCAATCAGACTTGTGTTTTTTTAAAAGAAGTTGAAAATATCACTTTTTACCAAAAATATTCACCAAAATTAGAAAATTGAAGATATCATCATGAAACGAACAAATCTGAGAGAGGTCTACCCAAGGTACATATACACCAAGTATCAAAGCATTCAGGCTTGTAGTTTTCAATAAGAAGTTGAAAAAGTAAAACATTGTCATGGACAACGAGGGACAATCACTCATATGATAAGCTCCGCTCGACAAAGTCAACAGTGGAGCTAAAATAAAGTGAGGAAAAGTCAACTTACTTTCCTTTCCATGAATAAATAGGTTTGATTAGAAATATTCCGGATTCTTCCTCTATCATTGAGAGCGTTATATCCATAAGTATGTGCGCTAGTCGTAATCTTTCTTCTCCCATTTCATCCATTCTGTCATTCCATCACTGTGCTCTCTGGTGAAAACAAATGGCGGTCAGATTAAGAAAAGGCAATATTTATGCAACAAAAATTTTATCATATTTTCAGGGACATATAATTTGGTATTGTTATTTCATTTCATTTTTAAATCACAATAAAATCTAGCAGTGAGAATAATGGACATTGAAAGGCCTGTGTAAAAAATATTGTTTCTTTTCAAGTGTTGCTGTCAACGGCTCTCAACAAGTTCTGGTACAGTTGTTTTTATTGGTTTTTACGTCCCAAATTAGATAGCAGGACTACAAATATTACAGCAGATATTGCATGCCACAGTTACAAATATACATTGTATATGTGTAGATTTTAACAACAAAAAGTTAAATAGACAAATCGAAAATATGTAATGCAGTACCAATAGATAGGGATTAAAGACATTTTCAATTATTTTGGTATTTTTTTGTAAGGTTGAGAAAAAAAAAATATCTCTGTTTCTCGTTTCCGTGCACATCATTTTGAACTATGCGCCTATACTATACGCTTTTTTTTCCTTCTAAAACATTCCAAAATGCGCTTGTACTCGCACTTGACACAAATTTCCCCATTTTAGCTCAGTAATCAAAAAGAAAAAAGAAAACGTCTTGCCACCTCATTTTAAAATTTCCATGAAACAAGAAACAGAGGATTTTTTTTCCCTGCCTTAATTTATGTTTTAATTTTGAGCTATTTGTACATATTATTTCCCATCGTCTGCCGATTTTGATCCATTCTATGACAAAAGTTGACCAATGCTTTTAAAATGTGTTGTTGTTCAATTCAGATTACGATAGTTTTCAGTAACAGTGAATAAATTTAAACTGTAATGACCTTCATTTCATAGTAAATACATCTAATGAATTAATGAACTTTGAACTTGTATTCCCATAATTCCATGCTGCAATCCCAGGGATTGAGGAATGTCAGTTTAATATGTTTTACAACTTTTACCACTTACTGTGTTTTGTAATGCCTCCATTTTGTCCAATAAATTAAACACATCGTCATCTAAGTTCTGACTCTGACGTACGCCCTCTGGAAGAAAAAAAAAACGGAACAAAAATATTGACGATTACTGATGTTACAAAGTTAAAACAAGCATGACATCTTGGGAATGACATTCCTGGGAAATATGACATATCAGGGCAAGGTGTCCATGAGGAATATGGCATCATAGAGTATGCCGTCCGAGGGCCATGGTGTTTTGTTTCTAGGACATGGTGTTCGGGGGGTAAGGTGTCATAAAGGAATGACACTCAATTCACATTTCCAATGACTTGTGATTGATAAATTTCTACTGTACCATCAAAATGACGTAGATTGGATGAAATAAGTTGTTTATCATTTAGAATTTAGAAAATGTCTAAAAAGTAAATATTTTTATTTATCACTGATTGAAACAATATTGATGCACAGTGAACGGTGTTTGTAAATACACCAATAAGTTACAGAAGCCCTCTGTTGCTAAACGGTGTGGTGTGTTGGATACATAAGTGATATATGCTAATACACAACATGGTAGGCAACAAGCTAACTTTTTCAACACCAATTCCCTCTTTCCATCAAAATTCATAAAATAGTCGTATTTATAGTCTGCACTTTCCTTCAGAAGATTGGGACAAAAATAGACAATTTTTTGAGTAAGAACTGAAAATTTAAAAAAAAAATTGTCTGTCGGCTCCAAAATTCAAGTTCATTTCAAGAAATGTTGAAGAATATAAGAAAAAGTCCAGAAAAATTCGAGCGAGAAAGTCTGGAGGTAAAAAGGTTAAGGACAACGTCACACATGATACCCTACGGCCGTTTAAACTTCTCCAGTATGATAAGCAAAAATTAAACATATTATAATATTTTTACGACATGTATTGGTCAAATGAATCCTAAACTAGATTTGTGATGTCACTGAAAGCCCAAATATGGGCAATAATAATCTCATTTACGCATACCTTCTATTTGTTTCATCTGTACATGGTGCGTATATTTTTTAACGAGATGAACTAATCGTTGTGACGGCAAATCAACGTACTGCTCCATCGCATCCACTGCATTGTTGTAAACCTCACTCTGTACCTTCTCAGATGCCACGCCTTTCTTAAGAGCACGCTGGTTACGTTCCCAGTCCAACCGTGTGAACATAATGGCCGAATCCTGCTCACGACTTGGTAAGTTTGAACCATAACGTCCGGAGGTTGCGGCAGCTGCATTCAATTCACGTTGTAGTTCAGTTATCATGTCCTGCATCTCCATCATAACAACAGCATTATGACTAAAAAAAAAACAATTAAAAAACATTTCAAACATGGCTATAATTATAATATTATTATACATCTGTCACCGTAACGCCATAAGTTACAGCGTGCCGTAATTTTGCGATATTTTACGGGGTATTTTCATCCTATCATATTAGGAAATGCGAATTCCAAATATGGAATGAT